GCAGGGAGTGGTGGTGCAGCAGGGGGGCACCGTCACCACCATTGTCACATCCCAAACTGTCCAACAGGTAACTCATACTCACTCTGTCTTAAATGCTGATTATACTTGAAACAGGGCATAGTGTAAAACATTGATAGATAATTCACATCTGTAAAGCCAATGAATATTGGTTAAAGGTCCCCTATTATAATGTTTTTCCTCCTGAAACTTTCCGAATCTCTTAACGCAGAGGGGACACAGGATACATCTATATTGTTTGGCAGCATAAGCCACATGATGGCGATACTGATTTGAACAATGTGACAGTTTATTAGGCATTTTAGGCCTTTTGAGGAGCTTGTTTCTCAGTGTGGCCACAAGGGGGAAGTATATATCTAAGATGTGTGCATCTCTTTAGAGCTTCAGCATGTCACAAATAATTGAAAAGTGCTTTTTTAAGATGTGAGTAAAGATGGAACAAATTAAGGAAATAGCTCAATGTGCTTCATTTCTAAATAAAAATCTAACTGCAGTCATATGTAACTTTAAACAACTGTTGTCATCAAAGATGAATGAATTCTTTCTCCTAGCATCATTTCAAAAGAGGTTCTTCAGAGGGAAGCTATGAAGATTTGTTGCTAATACATATTTTCCATTTCCTTTTGTTCAGGAAATGATTGTACCCAACAACGTGATAGACCTGCCTCCTCCCTCTCCTCCCAAACCCAAAACAATAGTCCTACCTCCGCTCTGGAAAGTGGCCCGGGACCCTGAAGGCAAGATCTACTACTACCACATCGGCACAAGGTTGGTACTGCTGTGTTTCTGTTGAAGTGTGTGTCTGTGCCTCTGGAACCCCCCTGCATTGTGTTTCTATCTGACATTACTTCCCTCTGTGCACCAGGCAAACTCAGTGGGACCCTCCAACGTGTGATGGATTTAGCGACAATGCAAGTGTGGACCATGAATCTGAGATGGACCTGGGGACACCCACCTACGATGAGAATCCTTCCAAGGTATGCTGGAGTGTTTTAATATAGAGCTACACGAAGCACAGAGAAAATCACTTGTTTTTGTCACATAGGGAAACACAGAATCTCTTTTTATCTGGTTGGCAGAAAGTGTGCTTGAACATGATTATAGTGTTTGTTCCTTGAGGTAATTGAAGATGCAGCACTAGTGATTCTTTTCAGCTGTGTGTCAAGGGGGAAAACAGAACAACCCTCAGCACGACATTACATTCAGCGAGCGTTGTGTCCTCCCGATGGCTCCTCCTCGCAAAATGGCTTCATCAGAATCTGCATGGTGACACAGATTTGGAGAGAGATTTGACTCACTCCACCCCCTGCTCAGCTGTCCCTTCGCCTCAAGGCCGTTAGGGGAGGGGTTGCAGCTCATCTTGTCTTCCTCTGCCTCGTTTGTTTTTCCTCCTCATTTCTCTTCTGACTTTGAGGATAATGGGGACCATCTGTAAGACCTAGCCTTCATTTAGTTGCGGTTTCTTGTGTTATAGTTTAACTACAAAAGTGTCCCTTATTTCTCTCTTCATAAAAAGATATTACAGTTGAAAAAAGCATTGAAAACTAAGATGGAAAGACTCATGTTTTTAATTTCCCGCCAAGAACAGTTAGAAGGTCACGGACGATTTCCCTGCATGTGTCAACGTCCAGCCCTTGAAGCTACGACACATGTCTCTGCACTCGTAAAGCGTCCGATTTCACTGTTTCTGGATTCATGGCCCTGGCATGACGGTTGTGTGAATCCTTTGTGCTGGCTTTGATCCTCACCACTGAGTTGTCGGTGTAGGCAGTCAGCTGTTGCCTGTCTGTCTTTGTTGTTGAAGGCTGGCCACAGAGACGGCGTCCTGGCAGGATATCCCTGCTTTGTGTCGAGCAGGTGCTGTTTGATGCGCCACTGACCTTGATAGCCACAATTTAGTAGCCAGTTGCCATGTTTGATTGATATCATGCACAGGTGGGCACACACTTGTGATTTTAATCGTAGGAAATTATTCTCCTGGGTTTAGTCAGTATGCCATGCTATTACTGTCTGCCATTATAGCTAAGCAAACGTTTGACAATGTGATAAAAGAAGTAGAATTGGGTGGGAATTAGTTTATGACGAGTTAAACATGCAAACCCAAGGGTTTCATGTGGAACAGATGTGTCGCACACAAAGTGTTTTAATCGTTTTTTCCCTCTTTTCTGTCTTTACAGTTCTCTACAAAGACAGCTGAAGCAGACACTTCCAGTGAGCTGGCTAAAAAGAGTAAAGAAACATTTCGCAAAGAGGTGAGCCAGAGTATCTGTAAACAATGTTTGCAGTAATGTTATTTAACTCCAGATGTTTCCATGATTCAAACCTCTTCTAGCCAGCCATACAAGGTTTTAGTCTTGTTTAAATATTCATCTCTCTTTTAACAAGTCTTTCTGTGTGTCTCCATGACTCAGATGTCCCAGTTCATAGTCCAGTGTCTAAATCCTTATCGGAAGCCAGACTGCAAACTCGGACGCATCATCAACACAGAAGATTTCAAACACCTGGCTAGAAAGGTAAGAATAAACAAGAATCAGCTTTCAAAACCTTTCCTTGGCCCCTGTGTGGTCAGACCACAATGACAGAATTGGTCAGCCTTTCTCTTAAAAGGCAATGTTTTCAAAGTTTTCCCCAAACCAAAACTAAATAGTTGAGCTCCCACGACTCCTCTTGAAGAGACCAAAGACACATTGAACATGTAAACCATTAGCCCCCTCTCTTTTGTTTCACTTGTTGCCTTTTTAAAAGCTCTTTCCACCAAACATTTCTTCAAAGGACAGCATTGTTTTTCTCCTCCATGGTTTTCGTTGTCTCCCTGGATTGTGAATGTAGGGAGTGGTTTGCACTCAGAGAAACCACGACTCTGAGGGCATGGGTACAATAAACAAAAAGACAAGTTGGGCTTCACTTGTGTAGAGATTGCATTTGATTGTCTCAAATTATAAAGGGCAATGTCACTAAATAAGAATATCCAGCCCACCCCTCTACCACAACTTGCATTCATGATGATTCAATAATTAACTGTACCCTGTTGACAACTCTTTCCTCCTCTCTGCCCATTCTTCTAGCTTACTCACGGAGTTATGAACAAGGAGTTGAAAGCTTGCAATAATCCTGAGGACCTTGAGTGTAACGAGAATGTGAAGCACAAGACCAAGGAATACATCAAGAAGTACATGCAGAGATTTGGCACTGTGTACAGGCCCAAGGAGGACACAGAGGAGGACTAGCCTCAGCGCCCGCTGTTACCCTTTTCCTGCACCAACACAGGAGAAGCACAGATTTGCCTTTCCATTCACTCCTTCATGTACGTACTGGCCAGCCTGAGCCCTGAAGTAGTTTCTTATGCGTATTTATAACTAAGAATTGCACTGCTGCCCAAGAAGCTCTCCAGGCCCCGTGGATCATGGAGGAGCCTCGCTCTACAGACTGACGGAGACTCGAGTGTCGCTGAACGACCCGAAGACTCCAGGTGCAGTGTTCTCCCAGGACAATACTGCGGGGTGCTACAGAGACTAACGTTTTCACTGATTGTTTGATTTTAAGCGTTTATTTTTTCCATATGTGGCTCTTAAATGTTCCCGAGATGATCACCTCAATTCCACTTTCTAAACTCTTCTAGCCCTGAATGATGAGTTCTCAGCGGAATCAGCTTTGGTGTCACATCAAAGGTATTTTCTGCTCATTTCCACTGTTAAAAATGGATCAATGACAGAACAGTTCAGTGCTTTTTCCCTCCTGTGCACGCTTCACCCCCCTGCCACTGACTAACTAACTAACTGGTGCTGCTTTTAACTGGGCTGTGGAGGGCAAAGCTTCCACTCCTCAAGCCCCGCCTTCTTAACCACAAGACTTTGGAGCCCGTGTTGTTTTATGAATGCATGATATGATGTAGGCTGAGGTCAGAGGTATCCTTATGAAAATTCCTTTAGTTTCAAGAAACATGCCCTTACTGGGTTGAGCTTTTACTCACAATACACTTCAGAGAATAGCCAGCAGGTTGGCAAGGTGATCAATTAGTCTTTTATGAATTTATGTATAATAACGGGAGCAGGGTTTGAATGCGGTTTGATGTGCAGTTTAGCCATTTCACGTCCACTCCTCTTCGTAAAGAGGTTTTGCTCTGTTTCCATTTCTTACAGGAATAATACTGAAAGTGCAGTTTTAACAGTTTCTTATCATCTTGTGTGTGTTTCTTTTTTTCTCATTGTTAGTCCTTGTTAACGACACCTAGGCTGGTTCTGCTTCACAAACTGTCACTGTAATTTCCATGATTTCTACGGTTGTCGAGGTGGTTTCATCAGCATTAGGTCAACGATTGTTCGCAGCCTAACTCATTGCATTAAACGAAGTACCAACATATGTACATTGCTTTATATGTGAATATATTGAATAATAGTTTTGGGAATGTTTAAATAAGCAGACACTTTGTAAAATGACTATCATTTCGTGATTGAAAGTGTAAATAATATGTAAACTTACCAAAGCTGTGCGCAGGAGAGTAGGGTCAGCCCAGCCCTCCTCAGCAGCTCAGCCTCCTGATGCAGCTCCGCACCGCTCTGTCAAACTAAGGACCCTGCTGACGCGTTTGATTTCAGTGGTGGCGGAGGTTTCACCTTTTTCTTTTTTAGTTTTTATTATTTTTCTATGTACAAAGTAAGTTCCACCCTACTCTGCTGTAAGTATTGTGTAAGCACATTGTCATACCGAGTGTACAAACATTTTAAGAGATAATAAACTTTTTGTAAAATGATATCCCTGCCGGACTGTTCACTTTAGTATCTGTGAATGTGAGTGACCTCTGTTGCATGTTCAACCGCTCCGTGCACACCAATCCCATTTGAGACTGGTTCCCTCATGAATGCCACTACAGCGCGTACACACAGCTGAGCCAGATGTTTGGACCCAGTGAAGGGAACTCGAGTAATCGACTGCCTTCATTAGAGACGTTCAGTGTGCTCTAAATATGGCAACCCTTGATGAGTGGAGAGAGGCGCTGCTGTGCTTCCCGTCTCTCTTCTGGTCCCAACCCCCCTCCCAGTGTATGCACATTCCGCAGCCCCATGCCTGTGTGCTTCAGACCGCAGTTAAGCAGTCCCGTCTGGAGAGTGTGACGGCATGTAACACTGCCCCAGGCCATGCAAGATGCCTGCTCCCACTTAAAGCTGAATGCAGAGAGATCATTAACAGATTTGAGCAGAGGCGGGGGGGGTGCAGGATAAGCAGATTGTGCCTCAGTGAGAGAGGAAACTTTTCTCCAGAATATTTTTGGACGAAGATATTCTTTTCATTTCACCCTTAAATCATTAAATAACTGATTTCCCTCAGGGTTGTGGATAGGAAATGTTATTTTACACTAAATCCCTTGATAAGGGTCAGACTAGTGTCAATATGTCCGAACCTTCATCGCTGTGAAATTCATTATGTGGGTTTTTCTGTTACTGCAAGTGATTGACATGTTTATAGCACTTTGGTTGAGGTCTAGAAATTATCATATTCCCATGAATGTAAAACAGTTTATTTGGAATGGCTATAAACAAAAGGGCTCATATCCAAATTATATGATCAATTTTGTGCTAAACTGCTAAATATTTAGAGCCCTATCTAGTTGCGTTTTTATGAATTTGTTTTGGCGGCTTTACTGCAACCATTTAGTCATCCATTTTCAGCTGTCTTTCCAAAATATTTGGCTACCTTTATTTATTATAAACATTTATTCATAACTTTAAAATATCATGTCCTTAAAGCATTCTTACCCTCTATAATTTTGAGCTAACTTTTCTTTACTTTGATATTATTATATTTGTAACTGTTTAGTCATTATTTAATAGTAATTGTTTTAACTTTGTATCCATCATTTATAGCTATTTCAACCATTGTGACTTATCCATCACATGTTGGTGTTTTTTAAGAGTTCAGACACTCTTTTAAACGTAGTGTTCAGGAATTAAAGATGACTCAATGTCTCACAATCTCACCACAAACAGAAGTAGGTTTCGAGGGAGAATCACAGGTCTACAGGATACAAACTACTGTGCACATATGATCCTTCTGTTAAAACAAAAGAGCCCCAACTTATCAAAGTTATTTATTAAATGAATAAAACTCTTACAAAAACACATTGAGGCATACAATTAGGAAATATATACACAAAACCAAACATGGCTGGCATTAGAACAATTTCAAACCATTTGATTACACCATCACTTAGTTTTACTTGTACATACCTATGGTTCTCAATAGTTTTATATTTGAAATGGTGATGGAATAAATACAAAAGCAAGATGGAAAATTGGACATAAACAATGATGACAACAGTGTCTTTGGATACTTTTCTCTGTTTCTATTATACGAAATCAAGATGATGTAAATGGAGCTGTGTTTGATGAATATCAGGAGAATATATTCCTCTCCATTCGCTGTTTTCAGTCTTCACAGTTCATAAATGATTTCACTTTAAGCCATGACATACCAAAACGAATCAGTGTTTAAGATATTTACAAGCATTATGTGATTATTAGGAAGAGCTAACACAGAATGCTTCATTTTCGTGTCTTCTGATGATATTTGAAACATCACTTGTGCTTATTAATATCCCCAATGTATATACAGTAAATACCAAGGCAACGTAGTGACTGCAGCAGAAAAGGAAGAGTAAAAGAACAAGGCGACAAACTTAAAAAACACTTAGTGCGTAGTTACTATCGACACATTAGACAATCTTCTTAGCAACTGCAGGCGTCATCGGGAAGATTGGTCCGTTGCGTTGGTCAAGTAAACCCCTTATTGCTTATTGGAGTTTTCTATGATCCTTATTAGGGAAAGTCACATCGTGTCAGAGAGCAGTGTTGTTGAAAGGTGTCCTGGAAAAAAATCATCTGCAATACCAAAGAAGTTTCTGAAGTTGGATTCATGAAACAAGGTTGGCTCGAGACTACAAACAACACGATCTAAGCTGTATTTGTTTACAGAAGAACATGGAAGGCTGATCTTTTTTTATATGGGGAAGAGGATAAGTCTGATTACTGTCCAAATAATGTGTAAACAGCGGTTTTTAGAATAATCACACTTCTGCAACACGTGTAAACACATTCTTCTGTTTCCTGCCTCTAACCGAATACCAGGATTTGTGTTCATGTAAACAACATTACAAATATACTTATTGTTGTGTCAGTCATTATAGTTTTAATACAAAAGTAAAAAATGTTTTGCATTGAGCAAGGCATTTAGGCTTGACCAGAATTGAGCATCTTTTTCACTCAGTAGCTGCAATGAGAGGTTGTAACATACTATATGGTCAGAGTTTTCATTTTCAATAGAAAAGTTGGTATTTGTTCTGCAGCGATGATAGAACTTTGCAGAAGATTATGACTTGAAGTTGGATTCATACAAAATCAATCGGTCACATAAACTGGGGCCAAGAAAAGGAATACAAGAATGTTTTTTGTTCTCTTATAAGTGTCCAACAAAGCCAATAGGACCATGAGTGACAGAGGTGTTGATATCAGAGTGCCTTGCTTGTCATTTCAATGAAAGTTCTTCACTTGAGTCTTTTAGTGTTATGTGTGTTCGAGGGGGTATCACACCACAGAAACACCTTGCATGGGGGAGTTAAGAGCTGTGACCACATCAGACCTCTCAATGCGGGCCAGAGCAGAGAACAGCAGTCCCAGAGAGGAGCCTTCTTTCTGGGCCCAGTTAGAGAGGAGCGTGTGGGCGGGGGCCTCTCCACGCCCAAACAGGTCCAGCTGTTCAGGCTCATAACCCAGCGCGGCGCCCAGCTGTCTCCACCCCCGCCCCTCTCTCTCCTGTAGGAGGCGCTCCACCTCTTCCTGTCTGTGGGGGGGCAGGTTAATGTACAGACGGTTGTCCTGCTTGCTGTCCCTCTTGGTACCTGGGAAAACACAAACAAAATGAGCCCGCCGTGTACATGTAGGTCTAATGTTACTTTTTCAAAAAAATGCCAAATTAAACATTTCACAGGCATGAAATTAGAAAGCTTTCATGTCATTATTTTTGTTAGGAACATTGAGAACTTAAAGGTGCCCTGTCGATTTTAAAAAGTCCCTCATCACTTGAAGATTTAACAACAAGGACTGTGTCTATACCACACCTTTGCTGGGCTGGTTGTCCTGTATGCTGTGAGAGTCCAGAAAAACACCGCTGTCACTTTGGAGCTTTTCTCCCTCTGGAGATGCTCCCAACTCAGCCGCACGGGCCTTAGAGAGAGCCCTCTTCTGTTTACAGGATCTCCAACTGAGAAGAGCAGAAGAAAACAACGTCAGTTAAACTTCCCACGGTTACAAATGTGTATCTTACGGCCTTAAATTCTTATTAAATCCAAGGACCAGTAAACTCACCATTTATAAGCAACGTAAACAATCAGACCCAGCACCACGGCAGCCAGAACAGACATGTAGGCCAGGATGTTGTTGCTGCTTCCCTCGTCCTTCGGGGAAAGATTTGGCGTTCCAGTGGCAGAACTTGCCTCCTCCTCCTCGCGAGGGGCATCAGACCCATCCAGAGCAGGACGAGACAGAATGTGCAGCTTCTTATCTGTTGGGATTGAGAAAAGGAGCAACGTGTCACAAGCAGTAACTTCGAATCCGCACATATGCACATCAGAAACACATTTGGGCTGCATAAATTAGGCCCTGAAATAATTCCACAGAAGCCTGTACACCTGATGTAATGATAGCCTCAGACGTTTGATCCCCTGGGGTTTTGAAACCTTTCATTGCCCCTGTTTCCAGCCTCCCTATTCCTCCTGTGGTCTGCCTATTTTAGGATCAAACACTACACGGTACTGTGCTGAACTCTCGGGGGTCAAAGGGCCATGACATATGGACCCAGTGAGTGTACAGATGACCTTACTCCTGGAGAGCGAGTGTAGCCATTTGGGAGCAAGCAGAGTAGTTCTCAGGGTCAGCAGCCTCCCTCGGCCTTCAAGTTCTCGAGGGCAGTTAACCTAAAGACCTGTCAAGCTTATACCAAACGGATTACAGCGCTTAAGTGTTCTCTTTTCCCACTTCTCATGTTTCTCAGCTCAGAGTGTTCAAGCGAGGTGTGGATGCAGATGTTCAACACATGTCCGTGTACTCTCACAGATCCTCCCACTCCCTGTCCTCATTCCTCTAGCGTTTTCTTTTATCTTTTCCTCTTTTACTATGGCTGCCTTCCCCTGCAGTATCTTAAAGGGATAAGTATATTTTTTACATCTCCTACAAGCCTTAATCATCCCCTCTAGTTTGTAACTTTAAAAATAATTGCAGAAAAATTATATATAATTTACTCATACCCATAGCAACAACATGTCTAATGACACTTTGTTTACATGAACAGATGATGTATGAAACTTTAATACTTTCTCAACAATACATCTAACCTTAAAAACATACAGTTTGAATTTGGGATTTTTCCAAACTTTTTAACCTGTTAAGCCCAGAGCCTGTTTTTCAGGTCTCAGGCTCGAAAATGACATCCCCAGAACAAATGACCATATCTTCCCTTCTAAAAGGGTTAAATTAATAATCTTTTTTCTCAAAGCAAGGTTACACCTGTGAGTTGGATGTAGAAGTGTCAGAATCAATATAGATGTTTTTATTTTAAAGTAAATTCAGATTGAACACAGTAAAAAAATGTAAATGATTGTACCCACTCAGAGTGTGTGTGTGTCAATGGTTTATTCCTCACTACACCCTCAAGGGAGGCTAAGGGTAACCGAGACTGCCAATTATCTTTCGTCTACAGTGTACAGTTTTAGGTCGTTCCCCCGGTCTCGGTCTCGTATACTTTTTAGGTGGGTTTACTGGGGTCTTCACAAAAAACACAACACACGAATTTAGAGACGAGATTTTTCCAGTTTAACTTGAACAAAACGATAGTTAGACCTATGCCCCCAATGAATAATATAAACATCAAACCTAAGCATTTCGAAAATCCCGATGGGTAGGGTAGTAAGTTCCCACCAAGAAATAAAATAAAA